TTTTTTTTCTTTGTGAAAATACCGCATGCGGTTGAAACAACTAATAAGAGAATATTAAAAAACAAAGGAAGGGGGTGGGGTTGCCAAACAAAATTTTGTAAGGTTGTGTTTGGAAATTAAAATTTGAATTTGATGAGTGTAATTAAAATATATATTTAAAATATATGTAATTTAAATATATATTTTAAAATATATTATTTACGTTGAAGAAAAAAATAAATTTTAAATATATATTTTTTTGGAAAAAAGCAAGTTTTCCATTAGACGTTAGATGACATGTACAATTTCCTCCCAGGTATACCCGGGGAATTACATCTTTCAGATCATTAGTCTCAAAAAATGAACTATTTCATTATATACATCATTTTCAACCAAAAACTTACTAAGAGTTACTCTCTTATTTTTTTCCTGCCAAATCATATATATAGTGGCAGCTATCGCAGCTTTCAACTTGTTTGACTGCGTCGATTGGCCTTTACATGCCTTCTTTAACCATAACCATTCAACACTCCACCTTTTTGGTTGTCTGTGTATATTCAAGAAGTCCAAGACTAACCTCCACACTTCTTTAGCAAAACTACAATAAAAAAACAAGTGCTCACACGTTTCATCATATCTACCACACAAGCAACACCCTTTCTCAATTCTCATACCTCTACTTGTTAGTAAATCTCTAGTTTTTAGTCTACCCCACAATACCAACCAAAAGATGAATCTATGTTGCGGGAAAATGCACCTGCCTAAACAATATGATGCCATTCTACCTTAGGGTGTTTCACTCTTAGGAACTCATAGCAACTTGAAATAGTAAACAAACCATTCTTTGCAGGTTTCCATACAGCCTTGTCCACTTGTTGAGATAGTTTTTGACATCTAATAATCTGGACAAGCATGGGATGTCTTCTCACAAAACTATCTGGAATGGTTCAATCTAAACCATCCCACCACTCACTAACTGTAAGGTCATGGCCCCAAACAGCAATCTCATCCTTTGAGATCAACTCACAGAACCTTAACTCACCTGCCCACCAATCATAGAATAGTGAAACTTGTCTTCCATCTCCCACTTGCATCCAAATGGTATTTTTCAGTAGAGGACAAAGTTTTAAAACTTGCCTCCATGTCCAAGCACAATCCGCTGGGATTTTAACCTTCCAAAAATTTTCACCCCTCAACAGCACCACCTGTGCCCACTTAACCCATA